TGTGTGTATGAGTGTGTTTGCTCTGTCTTCTCGATCCCCAGTGAATCGTGGTGGATGGCTGTTTATCCTGACCCAGGATCCTCTGGAGGTTTCTTTCTGTTAAAAGGGACTTTTCCTCTCCACTGTTGCTATATGTTTGCTTAGGATGAGGCCAGCCAGTCAGTGACTTGATGCAATTTGCTGGGTTCCTTACATAGGACACTTTATACTGATTGGCTTAATGAACTGGGGTCTCATTTATCAAACATTGCGTAGAATCCTTACTAAAACCGTACTTGAGCTCAGCAAAAAAAATGTACTTACGCCAAGTAGGTTTGTGACCTATCAAACATGGAGTACGCACAGCTGCACGCAATCTCTGTTTCATAAATCGGAGACTAAGGAGAATGTTTCTCAGCTGCATTTCAGTCACATCCCGCCCTCACCACACCCACTTACTGCCATAAATGGTCAATGCAAAGTACCTTGTGGATCTCATGCATATACATAAGCCGGCTGTTGCAGCGCTCCGCCAATGACATGGCGGCCGTAGATCAATGCAGATCAAAGAAGCACTTTTTCACAGAAGCAGGAATTGAGGTACCTGTGGGTGAGGTGGAGAAATGAAAGGAAGTGCTTTTGCAAAACAAATAAGAGAAAATCCGCGGAGTGGCACAGCGTTGCTGAAGCTGTCAATGTTGTGAATTCTTCAGAGAGATCTGTGTCGGATATTAAAAAAATGGTCCAATTGGGACTCAATCCCCAGACTCCCAGGTGAAAGTCACGTGAGCTAACCAGTCAGCCAAACACAGATCTCCCGTGTACAAGAAGCCAGGTCGTATGATCAATCGGGTCACAGTGACAGGACACACACACTGTCGCAGACGCATGACGTTCTGTCTCAATCTGTCCCCTTGCTGATGCGTACCAGCTGCATTTTAGTCACATCCCGCCCTCACCACGCCCACTTACTGCCATAAATGCAAAGTGCCTTGTGGATCTCATGTATATACATAAGCCGGCTTGTTGCAGCGCTCTGCCAATGGCATGGCATTCCGTATTCTGCGCTTCAGGCTGTGTGTGTGTGTCTGTGCGCGCGCGCAAATGTGTGTACGTGTGAGTGTGTGTGCATGTGGGGGGGTCTTGTTCTGTGTGAAAACGAAGCGGTACAAGTGATAATGCTGCAGGATTTCATAATTGTATCTTCTCAGCAGCAGCACTGCAGGTGCTCTCCATGTCCAACATGTGTGTAAGCCAGGTCATTAGTCAACTTAAAGTTGTGCACATTTTTCCGCTACGTTTTCTTTCATAAACCCCAAAGTTTGAGTGGGAAGTTGCTTATGCAGTTTTCCGACCCCGTTTTGTGTGTAAGCAAGCTTGATAAATGAGGCCCCTGACCTGTATGGGAATGTTTACTAGGTGAAGTGCCTTGAGACGACTCGTTGTGATTTGGCGCTATATAAAAAACTTGAATTGAACAATGCACACATATCAGAGTCGGGGATGTTCATGGAAGTGTAGGGTTTGGGAAATTGAGTGCTTTAAGAGCTCAGTATGTATATTACCTCTACTTATGACCAATAAGCTGTGATACTCTATCTAAATATAGAATAGCAGCCCTGCTTGGTCTTTACGGTGTTTAATCAGAAGATTCTAGGATTCTTTATTTATTAGGGGATTGTAAACACTTTGTTTTGAGTCAGAAAAGAGTCAGGTTTATAAAAGTAAGAATTTATTTGACCAACAATTAAAACATGACAAGTTAACTAACATTTACTGTGACGGATGGAAATAGATGTGATGTATGAACCTATGTGTGAATGTGATGTTAGTCAGAACTTCCGTATCTAGGAGAGCGGAGTTCTAGATGCAGAAGAATTTGGGTTGCGTTAAGCTATGAAGTTGATTATTATCAAAAACACATCAGACGCTATCTGTGTGTCTACTTCACCCGTTCTGGAGACCCTCTTGGTGGATCCGAAGTTCAGAGAGGTCGGATGACCTCTGACACCGAAGGTCGAGTAGATTGACCACAGCACCGACTTCTCCAGTCCAGAGATGTCTCTGGTCAGGACAGATGGATGGAACTGCGCGTCTGGGACTCTGAAGGAGTCTAAACAATACCAGCTTGTTCTGCAGGAACTGTTTGGTTTATCAGCTTCGCAGATGCAAAAAGGTTTGACGACGTGTCAAAAGCTTTGATGGTTAAAGAGGGTTTCTGCATCAGATGGCCGGTCTGAAGCTTTCTCTAGAACTAAGGAATCACCAGAGTGATCTGGTTTTAATGTTTTCATGTTATGATTTGTGTAGCCAACCAGAGGTTGACAAGTTTGAGGAATATTACCAAGAGTCTCAGAAACATGGCTTCTTTGATACCGATGCTCTGATCTGGGTAGAGGACTATTTATGTGTCAGAGTTTAACTTTACCTTACTTTGTTCTTGTGTGAGTGCAAATGGTGATGACCTTGTCATATTAACATGCTGAAACATATTTCAATCACTATAATCATAACATAACATTCATTTCAAACTTCAATCATTGAGCACAGATTAATGAAACATTTCATTATATTATAATTATTATAAGTAGCAATAAACAAACATTTATTTAATATTATCTAGCTTATAAATTGTAGAAGTTCATATCTGATTTAGGAAATCTGGGCTGCGAGTGTTCCTTATATGGAGGCATGAAGAGTCCTGAAAGACTGGACCTTGCAGAGAGACCATTATTGTTGACATTTCATTATCTGTGTTCAGAGCTGCAGGCTCTGAGCTCCAGTGGGATGAAGGCAGGCTGATTTAGAAGGGACACATGCAGTCTCGTGTCTCCTTTTTGACCAGATGTTGAATGGTCATACTGTACCTAAAAACTGACCATTGCTGGACGTTACAGAAGCCTTCCAAAAAATCCTTGAGCTTCTTTCTAAGATTCGAAAGTAACAGGAGATGGAAGGAGAGCATGAGAAAAGAAAATTGTAACATAAAAAATAAATAAATAGTTCTAACAGTGCTGTCATCAGTTATTGGAAAATGAAATAAAAAAGTTGCCACTGTGTCTGCAATGAGAAACTCAGAAATAAGAAATCATTGTGTCTGTCTAAATCAAATTTTAAACACTCAAAACATTTTCTTCAAATTTTGCAATAAACCCATACCATCACGTAACACCACCAAGAGCTGGGCAAGGGGAACCTAAAGATGTATGAATAGGAAAAGTATTACAATCTCTGTTTGCACTTTACACTGCTGCATCTGGTCTCCTGTGCAGATTTGGTTTAAACTGTTATCATTTGTTTTTTATACATATTGGTCATTGTTGGAGCCATGTAATGTTATTTTCTCCAGAGTGACATTTGCTGTTTAAGATTAGGTTGAGCTGGAGTCACTGCAGAGTTTGAGCTTGGATAATACTGATATCATTCACTATCATTATCAGTCACATCATCTTCTGCAGGGGCACCGTTGGGGGGTGGGGGGTTAGGATGATTGGAAGAGCTCATGACTGACAGGCCTGCAACAAGGTTTGCATATTCTCCCTTTGCAGAATAAACAATTTGCTCTATGAAGCAGGACTTTCACTGTTAGAATAAACAATAAAGATTTCACACCCTAAGGACCCATAACGATTTGTCCTTCTCAGCATGTGATGCTGTAATCTAAAATTCACATTGACTCTACAAAAAGCCCTCAGCAATTAAGCTGCAGGAGGGGTTAGCATGACTTGCATCTAAGTCCAGAGAGATATTGATGTTTGCACTACTTCCCTGTGTTAATTTTTCCTCCATTTTATTTTATCCTGACAAGTTGTCCTTAATGCAGAGTTGAGGAAGGATTGAAACCCCCAGCAGCAGAAGCGAAGATTATGTGGGAAGAATAACATTTTGGGTCGACACGTTTCCGTATCTCCTGGAAGTTATTGACATTTACCAAAGTAGAGTTAAGGGAACTAGACAGAGTAATGTTTTATTAATATCAACAGGATCGGCTCATATTTGCATCTACTATCTCACCTCCAAAGGTTAAGTCAAAGTGTTTTATTACGCTTTCTAAGAAAGGAGAAGCTGCTGTTCTTATCTGTTCGGTGAAAACGGTGACTGAGTGAATGCAGGAAGACTGATTTATGTTTCTGAAAGGAGAACAAAAGTCGTAACAAGATAAATTTTGCTCAGCTGCTCTTATGATTTTGAACCAATCTTAAGGATTACAGCTGAGCTTTTGAATGACCCACATGGCCTTTTATATTTTATTTCAGTTTTGAGAAACTCTTATTCGGCTCCAAGAAGGTTTTATATAATCCTTTGATTTGGAAAAAGAAAACAGGGTCAGAGGAAGTATGGTTTGACTCGTTGACCCTGCCAGAACTTGGGTTGTATCCAGATGACCAATGGAAGCAGTTCATGTCATGAAAAACAGATATGGAGGTTAATCGTTTGTTAAGGTCAAGTATCAGGAACAAATAGGAAAACTAGTCTATGTCTGCTCCCTAAAGCAGGTGACTAAAGCTGGTAATCACCAGGATGTGTTTGGATTATTTTATTATTTGAGTTTCTGTCTCTGAACATTGTTTGCTCCCTGAGTCCGATTTAAAGTATTTCACTAGTTAAAGTGTTAAGCAGGCCATGTCTACTCAGGTACACTTAACATAATTCATTCCAAATCTCTGCTACGTTTTCAGCTGGCATACGAGTGCTCCTTCCACACGGCATCGAATTAAATGAATGGTAATAGAAAAAAGGGTGAAATTGCTTTCACTGCATTTAGATGTATAATTGCACTCTATACCACCTCTGTGACCCAAAATCTATTTCTTTTTAAATGGTTTGCATACTGAAATCCATCTCACTGGTCTACGTCTACTTACGTAAACAAAAACTAGGCCTTCTTTAACCAAATGCAGAGTTTATTTCTGAGGTATTTTCCTGGTTTTTTGTGATGAAACCATTAAACCTGATGGTTGTCAGTTGTGGACATTATTTTTCTCAGCCTTACTCTGAATCACCTCTCCCTACCTTTTCAGGTGGGCACCTATGAGATGGGGATCCTGCAGATGAGATACCCTGTTTGGCCCCGTTTTGGTTCTTACCTGGAACCGGTGTCAGACTACAGACACTTGACAGTGGCCACCCTGGAGGAGCGTCCTTTTGTTATTGTAGAATCAGTTGACCCTGTGACTGGAACATGTGTTAGCAACACCGTACCCTGCCGCCGACAGTCCAACAAGACAGAGACGTAAGTAACTGAAGTAATACATTGTAAAGCCTCCACAAACAGAAGGTAGATCTGTCCTGTCTGTTAGCTGGGAGAACAGACGCTGCAGAATTAGTGTCATTCTACAACCCATTCGAATCTGATCAGCTGTGTTGTCTGAAGCTGTCTCTGGATGGAACACAAACTAAGTAGATCAGTCTGTTGACTTTTATTAGCTAGCCTTTTTTCCCATGTGAAGCCCCAGATGTCTATCTGTGTCATCCTAGCTACATGTAAAACCCAGTGTTTAAATGTAAAATGTGTATTGTAGCTACAAAGGTCTCTGACAAGTCTATAATTTATATTCTGTTATTTCCTTTGCACAGAAGGGCCCCACAGTGTTAGAAAAAACAAACAGTATTGTTTGTTATTATTGTAGAAAACTGTAATATTAATGATAATAAATTAAATGTATATCTTTCTGACACTGACATTGTGGAAATGATACAGTTGGTAACACTTTACAATAAGGGTCCTTTTATTAACATTACTTAGTGCATTATTAAGCATTAATAAACCATTAAAGTGTTAACAACTGCTTTTATGCATTACTAAACATATGATTTAATGCATTATTAAGCTGTTGACTAATGTCTATTACTGAACCTTAGGGTCCACAATTCAGTAAGGATTAATTATGGTTAAGTAATGCTTAAATAATGCTTAGGCGTCTAGTATGTTTTTAGAAAGTATTTATAAATGGATAAATGTTTAAACTTTACAATAAGGGTCAAAATTATTTTATTAGTGATAAATTATGGTTAAGTAATGCCAAGGAGTCTATTAACAATTTAGAAAATGTTTCCAAAGGGTATCAATGTTTTTACTTTACCTTAGGTCAAGTAAGAGTGTCCTGATGACAAACACAGTACAGCATAAGTACGACATTAATTAATTGTTTATTAAAGCCCATCCAAGTAACATCCAAAGGAAAAATGGATGAATTAGTTAGCTGTTACTTATTGCTTATTTGCTGCAAATACACAACCATAATAAATTATGACTTTACAAATTACCAAGGATTAATTAACACATTAACTAATTTGGTAATTAACACACATGATGCAAAGTAATTAAACTAAGCAAGTGTTATTTAAAGCTTAGTACTGCATTAACTAAGGTTAAGTAAGAGACATTAGTTAACTAACTAAATAATATGTTTAGTTATGCTATGTAATGCATGCAGGCAGTTGTTAACACTTTATTTAATGGTTTATTAATGCTTAATAATACACAAAGAAACATTAATAAAAGGACCCTTATTGTAAAGTGTTACCATACAGTTGTTATTTAACTTGAACAGCTGCCCTAAAACCACATTTTTCCAAACTAAATGGACCACGTACGAGTACCGATACCAAGTGCTAATCACTGCCATTGCCCTAAAATGTAGTTTGGTATGTGTTTGGTACTATAGAAAAATACAAAACCCAAATGCTTAGTTTAGACAGCAACATAGAGCTGCCACCCTCTCAAAAAAAAATTATTTATTTTTCAAATATTATCATGTTCACATTCTCACGATATCATATTTGTACAAAATTTTATTGTAAGAACATGATAGTGTTATTGTATGAACGTGATGATATATTGCACAAACATGAAAGTTATATTGTTGGAACAATACAGTTAACGTTTAACGTGATATCGCCCTAATTTTATTTAGCATGGGTGACAGTTTGACACATTTACCCTGTTTGTTTTTTAAAGGGACACGTTTTCATATTTTTAAGTCATTTTCTTGAGCCAGTATGAGCTAAAATGACCCTTTACAGGGTTAATGAAATGTCACTCAGACCCCCACCGCCCTATGTGGCCAGAATACGGCATTTGCAACTTCAGAGTGCCGTTCTGGTCTGTTGGGCTTAGAAAAAAATGTACTGACATACGTGGCGCTGCAGTCTGGTTCCGGCACGTTTCCTGCACATAAACACAGCTGATTTGTTTAATTTAGTGAATCACTCCTGTAGACACTACTGAAGGCTGGGGAGACATTTCAGCTGTTAAATTAAAATGGCTGTATGTATTTCCTCTGATGATAGAGGCCAGTACATGCCTAAATTCAAGCATGAGGTATTTTTGTGTTTGAGTAAGATCTTACCAGTCTTAATTCATTTTCAACAACACTTTGAGGGATATTTCCAGAGAATAATGGTAAAAACTACACATGGTCTCTTTAAGGTGTTAAAAAGGCAATTGCACAGTCGAAAGATAAGTTTTGCTTTCAGTTTTACTAAACGGACACTTGAGGGCATTAAAAGTAAGCCAAAACTGCCTAGTCTCCCTTTGATAATTCTTTGACAAGTCAAAACAACAATGCCAGGCATTGCATGTCTCCTTACTGGTAATGAAGGTCTAAAGAAGAAGGTTATGTACTGCAATGCGGGATCTGTTGTATCATCCCTTTTAAATGAAAAGTCATCACTTCTACTCTGTTCCTGCAGATAGAACATTTCCTCACTAGATTAGAACCATCGACATAAATATACTGGACATCTCCTTTCCATAAGGCTCCAATATCAAGTTTTTGAGGCCAAATGGGAGGTGGCCACCACCGCCATTTTGACCGTGTCACAGGTTCCGTCAAGCCCAGACAATTCCAAAAAAGGGAAGAGAGGTGGAGCTGAGGGTGTGGCTGTGAGGCTGGGATCAACTGACGACACCCGGTCGAACTAGCTGCAAGCTAACCTGAAGCTAACCCTGGCTAACCCAAAGCTAATGCGGAGGTGGGAGCTAAGCTAACGGAGGTAGCAACCTAGCTACAACCGGAGTTAACTGTGCACAACACCAGAGCTTCTGAGTCAGAGATACGCCGGGCTGACCGCTGGGTAAAACCGGGTGGAACACAGAGGTCTCCGAGAGCTCCACAAGCCAGCAGCCACACAGCAGACAAGCGCCGCTGCAATCTGAGATGCGCAGAGCTGCCGCTGGGGAGAACCGGGTGGAAAGGTTTCCATCCCAAAGCTCCACAAGCCGTCAGCCCGCGCATCAAACAGAAGCCACAATCAGACAGAGATGAGCCGAGCTGCGGGGAGAAACAGCCGGCATTCTGCGCATCAAACAGAAGCCGCGATCAGACAGGAAGGGGAGGGGAAGGGGTTAACAGGGTGGAAAACATCGGTCTCCCGAGAGCTCCACAAGCCGATAGTGGGAACCCAGCTCCACCAACATGTTATATTTCAACCCATTTTCTCATGTTATATTTCAACCCATTTTCTAAAGTGCAGCATTATGTTAAATGCACTGGGTTTTACCCTATTACATTTAAATTTCATGGTTAAACAGTACATGTTAAAATCTAAGCTCAGCTCGGCAGTGACCTAAAATACATAAATATAATTTTACTTACCGAAAAAAAATGAAGTGGAGACTCCTTGGACGCTCTAATAGTGCAATTAATGCCACAGCAAGTCATTTTGTCCAACAATTGCACGAATAATATCCAAACAAGAATACACAAACACAGAGACTCAAAATCCCCGAACAGTTTCCAGGCCAGACCGAGGCTCTACTGAGGCGTGGGTCTGTCACGTGGGTCTGATGCTCATTAATAATACAGAATTTTAGGCTTTTAATACACTTAAACAGAAGAGTGAGAAAAATTTCACCCCCCTCAGAGTTGTCATGAGTGTAAACTAGAAAATTTAAACCAAAAACATGTTTTGGTACCAGGCTGTAAACATGTTTATTTCTGCTGTGAAATTGGTATTTTTAACATGGGAGTCAATGAGGATTTGCTCGCTTCTGACACCAGCCCCCAGTGGATGAGGGTGGAACTGCAATTTATTTCATTTCCGGGTTTGCCTCAATTTTAGAGCTGCATTGTAGGGGCTTGATTAGAACCAAACCATCAGATGTTTATTCTTTAATTCATTGGCTGCAATTTTTCAAATTCAATTCAATTCAAATTCGAATATACTTTGTTAATCCCAGAGGGAAACTGATTACTGTAGTAGCTCAGAATAATAATAATAATAATCAAGTCAGCAAAGAGTTACTGTATATTACAATGGCTGTTGGCAGGAAGGATCTCCAGTAGCGGTCAGTGTGGCAGCCAAACTGAAGAAGCCTCTGACTGAAGACACTCTTCCGTTGTCGGACAGTCTTGTGAAGAGAATGCTCAGGGTTGTCCATCATTTTCTTGATTCTCTGGAGAATCCTTCTTTGCATGATCTCCTCCAGCGGTTCCACAGTCATCCCCAGAACAGAACCAGCCTTTTTTATTAGGCTGTTGAGCCTTTTCAGGTCCCTGATTCTGATGCTGCTACCCCAACAGACGATGGCTGAAGAGATTACACTCTCAACAACAGACTTGTAGAAGATCTGCAGCATCTTGCTACAGACATTGAAGGACCTAAGCGTCCTCAAGAAGTGCAGTCTGCTGTGTCCCTTCTTGTAAACGGCTTCGCTGTTCTTTCTCCAGTCCAGTCTGTTGTCCAGGTGAACTCCAAGGTATTTGTATTCCTCAACCACCTCCACTTCTTTTCCCATGATGGAAACAGTGTTTGACTCCACCCTGTTTCTTCTGAAGTCTAAAATCATTTCCTTTGTTTTGTTCACGTTCAAGGTCAGATGTTTGTTTCCACACCATGCCACAAAGCGCTCCACCAGCTCTCTGTATTCAGCTTCCTGTCCATCTCTGAAACACCCGACAACTGCAGAGTCATCTGAGTATTTCTGTAGATGACAGGTCTCTGATTTGTACTGGAAGTCTGAGGTGTACAGGGTGAAAAGGAATGGTGAGAGTACAGTCCCCTGTGGTGCTCCAGTGTTACTGATCGCCTGGTTTGATGTGCAGTTCTTCAGCCTCACAAACTGTGGTCTGTTTGTCAGGTAGTCTTTAATCCAGGCGATAGTTGAGGTCCCCACCTGTGTCTTCTGGAGTTTCTGGCAAAGTACATCAGGCTGGATTGTGTTAAATGCACTGGAGAAATCAAAGAACATGACCCTCACAGTGCTGCCTGCTTTGTCCAGATGACAGT